TTGGGGCCGGGGCCAGGCCCGCGCGCACCGGGGGAGCGGCGCTGAGGAGGCTGGTGGCGGAACGGGGCCTGGGGCGGTTGAATAACGAGCTTAGGCGGAACCTGCGCGACACCTTTGCGTTGTGGGAACGGACAAGGAGAGCGGGGCCGAGGCGGGGGCCTGGGGCGGCTGCTCCGAGTGCGCTGGCTGCCTGCAGCGCCCCCTGCCGCCTGGGGGGACTCGCAGCTCCCCGCTCTCAACCCGACAAAGGCTTGGCCACTGGGGCTCTTACCAGGAGTGGCCGAGGGGGAGAGGAAAGGCCAGGGAGGGGAGAGGGCGAAAAGAAGTGATTCACATGGGTGTCTTAGAGGGAGGGTGTCGCCCACCTGCTCGCTGGCCCAAAAGGAGGTGGGGTTTCCTCCTGTGGACACTATTGACAAAAAATAAATCTTTTAGATTTCCAAACACCTTTTTCAGACTGTTGGCTTGCTGGCAAAGCATCAACAATCAAAACATTTTGGCAAACACCCCCGCACACGCACATACACGCACAATTTTCACCTGTTTGGCATTTTGATTAAATACCAACGTTTTCTGCAGAAATCAGATACTTTTCCCAAACGTATCATTTAGCTGAAACTCCAGTTTTCCATCAAAAAACAGTTTTGAAGGAAAATTTTCTACCAGTCAGTACTCCCCTGAATGCAGCCAGCCCTTGCTGACATACAATAGAGATAGGGCTCACTGGAAGTTTTTCAGGAATGTGAACGTCATTGTCATGGTTGCAGTGTTGTTGCTCTCAAATGAACTCCCACAGAAAAATGATAAAAGACAAAAGCACCATTTCGTTTGTAGGCAAACACTTTTCATAAAACGATCACTCGATATCTGAATCACAGTCCTCAAGAGAAACCTACATAACATGGTTAAAAGGGGAGCCTGGGGCTTACATTCATAACATTGCTAGACACTAACAATCACGGTTGTAATAAAAACACTGGATTTATGGTGTATTAAAACAATTTGTAACCCGCTAACCCCCCTTTTTTGTTAGACTGCAGAGGTGTTATGCATCCGAAGAAGTGGACAGTAGCCCACGAAAGCTTATGCTCTAATAAATTTGTTAGTCTTTAAGGTGCCACAACAGTAGTCCTGTTCTTTTTTTAGAGGTGTTATCAGGCCACTTCACTTGCAACAGTCTCTTAGGGCTTGGCTACACTTGCAAGTTAGAGCGCATTAAAGCAGCCCCGGGCACCCTAACTCCCGATGTGTCCACGCTGGCAAAGCATGTAGAGCGCCTGGCCTCTGCAGCTGGAGCGCTCCTGGTAATCCTCCTCCACAAGAAGCATAAAGCTTGCTATGCCCCAGCTGAAACGCCCAGGCGTCAGTGTGGACGAGGTGTTGCATTACTGTGCTGTGATTGGCCTCTGGAAATGTCCCATAATCCCCTGAAGTTAAGTGGCCACTCGTCTCATTGTTTTGAAATCGGCTGCAGGCATGCGGATATCCCCTTTCAAAGCTCCATTTCTGAGAGCCGGAATGCTTATCTGCTCCAGGACAAAGCAAACCATTAGTGTGGAATGCTGCTGTTGTGAGTGTGGTCGGGGGGGGGGGGGGAGGGGGTCTGCTGCTGTCTGAACTTACAAGACAGCATGCTGACACACAGCCCCCCAAAACTCACTGTCTCTCCCCCCACATACACACAACACACTCCCTGTCACACTCCATCCCCCTCCCCCATTTGAAAAGCACGTTGCAGCCACTTGCACAGTGGGATAGCTATCACAATGCACTGCTCTTTGTGGCGTTGCAAGAGCTGCTAATGTGGCCACGCCAGTGCGCTTGCAGCTGACAGTGTAAACACATGACAGCATTTTTCCTGCTGCGGTCTCTGAAGGCTGGTTTAACGCTCAGCACTCTACATCTGCAAGTGTAGCCATGCCCTTAGAATATGTGCTAAATACTGATGCCAAAAAATCCATTCCACGGCCACCTAGTATTTAGCTGTGACACTCTGACTACCTTTCCCAGACCTGAAGAAGAACTCTGTGTATCTCAAAAGCTTTGTCTCTCTCACCAACAGAAGTTGGTCCAATAAACAATACTATCGCACCCACCTTGTCACTCTCATGACATTTTCAGTCATTCAAAGGATTATAAAATGTTTGCCTTATTCAAATCTTACGTCTAAGTTTAATGCCGAAGTTTGTTCATCCTTCTCATATAAAGAAATAAGGCATACCAAAATGTGGGACTAGTAGAGAGGCACAAAATGAAAAACATATTTTGTTACGTACTAGAGATGCCTGTTTTTCAACCAGCTCTACTTTGTACAACTTACGTATGCAAAGATTTTCAAATGTGTAGTTTGAATTCATGTTAGAGCTTTCCAGAGCAAGAGCAAATAATTTGGGTCTTTCAAAGTAAGTCAGATTTTTCACGCAGAAACTGAAGGAGAGAGCACACCTCCAGTGAGGAAGCTCTTTATAAGATATCTAGTTCATAACTCATATCAGCTGTAACTATTTAAGGTTTATAATCTAAACAAATTTATGCCACCATTTAAACACTTTAGCCTATCACACTGTCTGGAGTGGTTCACGACAGTGAGTGCCAACCTCAGGGCAGACTGCCAAAAAAGCAGGGCAGAGACTCAAACTGGTTGTGTGGTCTACAATTAGATTTCACCAGCCCAGTAACAAATGTGAACTCCTAAAACACCATAACAATATTACCAAGGAGTTACAGACAGTGCCCTTGGGCATTCCATTCTATTTTGCCATTCAGGCAAGCTGGACTTAAAGTGATAGTGGATTGCTATATACCAAAGATCACAAAAGATTCAGGTATCTCCCATTCCCAAGAGACCAGTCATTTACCCCAGGTCATTTTGTACCTTAGATCTCTCACACCAAAGCCAACTCTTGTAGCCAATCCTGTAATAAACTAACTAAAGATTTATTAACTAGGAAAAAGAAATGAGAGTTATTACAGGGTTAAAGCAGGCAAACATATATACACAAATGAGTTGTAGTCTCGGGTTTCCAAAAAGTGACAGTTGTAGTAATCTGTCAGCTCTGAATGTCTTTTAGGGCTAACCCAGGTTGCCCCTGGGAATTGCTGTTGCTGTTTCTGTTCTAGCTCCGGCCCAGTGAGAGTCCAAACAGCAAAGAGATGAAAATTTTTCCTGTCAGCTATTTTTATGTCTTTCTTCCACAGTTCAAAGCTGATGGGAGAAGCCCTTTTGCACTTTGCCTTTTCAGGTGTGTTAAGGGACAATTAACAAAGTCTTTGTATTGTGATGTCCCACAACACCCATTTATTTTTGATAGCCTTCTTGATGACGAGGAGATGATCCCTCGTAACAGGATCACAGTTTCAGAGCAAACATTTTTTACAGTTACACAGCAAAAACTTTAATATTATATTATAGCATGGGATAAAGATATTGTGTAAGATTAATGCATGCAGCAACTTACAATCATTTCATAAAGTCTAAACATTAAACACTTTGTTATAGGATCAATATCCATCTTAGCCATACTAACACACAGGTGAAACAGACTGGTTTCCTGCAATGAATATGTCAGTGCTCAGCTGAGGCCTAAAGCCTTGGCAAGAGCTGGCACCTGGTTTGCCGGTATTACATAGCCCTTTAAATTTTCCTTTCTTCCCCAAAGTATGACCATTCGTGATTTCTTTTTTACAGGCAGGGACCAAGTTGAACTTTTCTATACTAACAGAATGAATTAAATAAAAACTTTGCCATTTTCAATCATCCCTTGTACTTTTATAACATTTCCTGATACTAGCTTTCCAAGATGATCCCTACTTGATCTTCTGGAATTGCTTCAAGGAAATTATTCATTGACTATTTCAGAAAAGCTTAGTGAGCATTTTCAAAATGATTTTTAGAAGAGAATTGTGTTTGTGAGAATATCATCATCATAGATCTTTGTCTTTTTTATTAAGTTCAGACATACACATTCTTCCCTTGCTAAATCTGGCTGCCCTTGATAAACCAAACACTTTTTTGATCAAAAGAAAAAAAATAGAACTGTTCCATAGAATGCTGAAGGAGCTCTTGGTGCTGTTCTGAATTAAATCTAGCCATATTGTACTGAAAGTGTATTTGGGCTTTGTAAATCTTCTTAAGGAATGTATTTCAAGTGAGTACAGTATATTTGAAAGAAAGCAATTAGTGAATACATATTGCTGTACTGTGATTTAATTTACAAAATTGCTTAGTTGCTGTATCTCCATTTAATGAATATGAACATAACTTCATTCTTTTTGGAGGGTGGTGTGATGCTGTATGATTGAAGATGTAAATTTTGTCATCGTTGCAACCACTGTTGTACAGTTGCACTAAATCTGAATCAAAGTATGTCATGTAAGGTATCAATGGAACAGTTTTAATCTGCTAAGTATGATAATCTTGTTTATATGCATGTATCATCTTTGTATCTGAAGTTATGAATATTTGCTATGTATTTGTATCTCAAACATGTTTTGTTCTTGGATGACACCTACAAGGTAGATTTATATCTGGTCTAGTCAGCCCATTGTTGATGAACCTTGAACCATACAATTGTTGAGGGACCATTCAAGTGGTGATAGATGATTAAGGGAAATCAGCTCTTCAGTGAATCTTCCTGCAGATGCCTCAGATAGAATGGATCCAATGGCTTCTTCTCTGATTCAGCAAGCATATAAGGATATGTGATGAGGACATTTGATCTAAAACTCCATATTTTACCAGTAACTTTCCATACTCATGTGACCCTGGACTCCATGTTGGCCAGTAACTTTCCATGGATATGGGCTGAGGTATAAATTGCAAGTGAAGACAGCACTGCTTTGTCTTCATTCTCTGGACTGTAACTTTCTATGGAAGCTTTGAACAAAAGCTTGAATGACCCACAAGCTTTTGGGTGTGATCCAGAGAGAGACTTTTGCACGCCTGCAGAATTACCATATCTGATATGATCCTGA